ATCTTTTTTGTTATTACTTTTTAATAGAAAATTATAGTTATAAACTATGAGATATTCAGTTCAAATGCATAACTAAACCATATATTTAACAAATTAAGCTCGAATCCACAATTCAAAGTAAGATTTTATTTTTCTATTCTCGTCACAGTTGAATCTCGTTCACATGACTGGTGATTCGATACTTGGTGCACATTTTAAGTAAAAAAATATAATGTTTTACGATAGCATGCTTCTAAATAGAGAATCGATTAATTTTCTACTATGAACTTAAGTTTTCTTTCAAACTTATGCATCAGTATTAGACGAAGCTAAAATTAAACTTCCAGTTATTCTGAATATTTCGTTCCCTTTTCAATATTGACAATTGTCTTGCTTGATTTATTGAATTGCATGTTCGACACATATTCATGTTGTTATCAAAACCTGAAGAAAAAAGAGTAAGCATGGGATGCAAATTGATTAGCTTGCACTAATTAGAATAGCTCCCATACACTTCTCTTTTAATATACCAAGAATTTTACCCATGTATATAACGACAAGCCGCTAAAAGGTACGGCAATGTTTGCATTACTATGTTCGAGCTTTGAATTTGTATGTGTTAAAAAAACTCCTTTTTCGCACTCAAACGAAGTAGCAATATCATTTCATACGTGCAAAAACTTATGTAGAAGCTGACCTGAATTAAGAACTGTTTAAAACGTGAAGTTTTGAGAGTTAAAATTAGATTTCTAAGTACACTGATAATTATCTATTTTGACCATTCAAAGATTTAAAATATTAAACAAAAGACGTTTGAAAAGTTTAGCTTCGGAATATGCTCACATTTGTCTCTCTTTGATAATTAAACGCTAAAAAAGTTAATTAAAATTAAAATAGGGTATCAGTAAAATACATTCTAACTCACTCCAACTCCAGTTTAATTTGAAGATATTATCAATCGATAGAGCTTAGAAGTCTTTACTCAGGAGACCTCATTCTAAGCGATTTTCTTTAAAAAAATCTTTGATAGAAGAATCAAATACCATTCTTATTGGTACACTCCAGCCCAATCCAATCCACTCCAAACCACTCTAAACCAAATTTTCTCGCGAAAATGAATAACTCATAGTAATAAGCCACTCGTCGATTTATTTTAGACTTATCTACCTTGACATCACTTTCGCCATTGGTAGAGGTCAGAGATCAAGGATCATATTCGATGACAAATCTTAAGTTAAACTTTGGCGTCCAATATCAGAATTTTGAAGTAAGGGTGCATATAATCGACAGTCTACAAAAAAGTTAATGAGAGTGTGTTTGAAAAAATCTGATATAGGACGTCAAAGTTTAACTTAAGATTTGCCATGGGGGATGATCCTTGACCTTTGACCTCTGATCTCTAACAATGACGACAGTGATGTCAAGATAGATAAGTCTAAAATAAATTGAAGAGTGGTTTATTATTATAAGTTATTCATTTTCTCGCAGGACTTTGACTTCGAGTGGATTGGATTGGAGTGGACCCATAATAATGATATTTGATTCTTTTATCAAAGATTGTTTAAAGAAAATGGCTTAGAGCGAGGTCTCCTGAGTAAAGACTTCTAAGCTCTATCGATTGATAATATCTTCAAATTAAACTGGAGTTGGAGTGAGTTAGAATGTATTTTACTGATACCGAAATTCTTTTGTGTGAATGATAGGGTACGTCTTTATATGCACCAAATTTGAACCTAGTAGCATATCATAGCACGAAGATTCTGATTTCAAGAGGAGGGAGCCTCATCGATCCCATTAATCTGCCGCGTTAATCTGATACTTCAATCTGTTCTCTTAACCTAACTGCTTAATCTACATCAGTCATCGCAACCGAGGTATTTAACCTATTTCCTTGATTAAACCCCTTAATTTATTCCGCTCAGCTGATTCCTTCACCTGTATGAGCCACTTCAGTCTAAGTACTTAACCAAATTCTTTTATTTCCATCTTTTAATGTAACTCCTTAATCTATTCCATTAATCTATCTCTTTAACGTATCTTCTTAAAATAACTCATTAATTCTCTTGACTGAACGGAAGATCATTTGAAATAAAATGAGTTTGTATGTGTGTTTGTGGCATGTCAAAAGAGCATGGTCAAAGATGAATGCGTCAGAATTTCAGCCAATCAGGTATTTCCATGCTGAAATGTTAGTCAATCAGCCCCTTTGAGGCTGGAATTTCAGCCAATCAAATGTTTTCGAGAGCTGGCTCTCGTTCCGTCAGGTTTTTCCGGACTAAGAGCGCAGTCGATCAGGTCAATCTATAAGGATTAACGAAAAGACATCAGGACTGAGGAATCCGAATATGCAATCAGATTTCGAAAATTTCAAACTGCCTTTTTTTATGGCGAGGGGAGGGTTTTTTTTTTAGAAAATTACGATATTTTGTAAAGCTTGACGAAGTCAACATGATGTTGGAAAATGCCAAGCTGCAATCAGATTTTGGAAGCTTAGACTACATTTTCTTGGCGAGGGAAGGATTTTTCGAGGAAATGACGATACTCTGTGAAGATTGACGAAAGGAAATCGACGTCGTGGAATCCGAATCTGCAATCAGATTTTGAGAATTTCGATGTGAATTTTTTGGGTGCGAGAAAGATTATTTAAGAAAATAACGATATTATATAAAGGTTGATGATGTCAAGTCGTGATGGAGGAATTCAAATCTGATATCAGATTTTGAAAATTTGAACGGCATTTTGTGGTGCGGGAAAGGTTTTTTGTGAAAATGACGATAATTTATAAAGGTTAACGGAAACAAATTGTGGCAGGGGAATCGGAATCTGCAATCAGATTTTAAAAATTTCAAGTTGAAATTTTTGGGTGAGGAAAAGGGGTTCTTGAGAAAATGAGGATATTTCTCTTTATTGAAGGGAAGATCGTAAGAAATTAAAGAGGTATATATGTATGGATTTGCAATCATGCTCGGAATTTAGAGTCAACCATTGTCTTTCATTCATGGGATATCAGGCTAATCGTGCGTCGCGATCGTATTCAGGGTGTGTAGTCTCGTCGAAACTAGATTGCTCATGTTGGGAATGAAGTGAATACGGTATTTTGAACAGCGAGCTCTATATTAACAAGGATTCTGTTTGCGGTAGGATTCTAACGAATGAAGTGCGTTTATTGTGACAGTGTTCTGTGATCAGCCCTCGTCACGTTGGAGATTCTACGAAACAAGTTTTCTGGCTTAGATTTACTCGAGGATTGTTGGCCGTTTTCAGAAAGTTTCAGGGTTTCATACATATTTCGCATATGCACGGCTTAAAATTAATCATCGAAGGTTGAAGATTCAGTGACATGTTATCTTTTGTGTAACCTTGACTCAGTCATAATCTTGATGTAGATAGTGAGCAAGAGACGTTCGTGAATATTTCTCTGCTCTCGTGATAGTTCTTTCCTGTTAAACTGCAACGGTGAGTTGCACGCCCATACTGAAGTTTATTAAACCAAAGTGTAGCCTGTTCTGCTGAAAGATATTCACTCACAGACCATAAAATTTTCCGATATCATTCAAGAATCTTCTCATAATAATTCAATATTTAGATTGAAATTTACAATAAATGATTAGTGTTTTAGGACTGTGAACTTAAGAAAGGCAACGGCTACGCATGAGGGGCGCCGATGAACAACTAGCTACTGCCAAAGCAGGTTAACACAGGTCATATTTTAGGACATGTGTTCATAACATCTAGAACAGTGCTTGACAATGCGCCGCTACTACTCAATCAATTACTACTAATGTAGAGTGGAATTTGCGGAGAGACCAAATTCGAGAGACAATGAGTATGCGGCAAGAAGATGTTTTGTTTGAAATGAAAAATCTACAACTCCTTAGTTGTGAGTAGGAAAGCTTGTGAAATACTTGAAGCCTGAATCATTCAGTTCTTGAATAAAATAGTCCTGTAGAAGCATGGACTCGAGAAGACAGCGGCTAGTCGCAAGTGGTGGTCCTTCGGTGCGTTGAAGAGCGACTAGTCGCTGCTCTGGAAAACTCATCGAAGAACCGACTTAAGATGTTAGGATTTATAGGAAAAATGCTTCTGGTCTAGACTCGAGTGGTTTCATTAGTGACCTGTAGTGTAAAAAAGACGATTTTTTTCCACATGTGAAAACAGTTTTTCCACACGTGTACTATATCTAAATACTGCTATTGACAGGAAACATCACTCAAAGCGTTCAGAATCGCTGAATTGAAAGCAGATTTGAATAATATAAAGCGAGCTCTTCAGTGATACTCATTCTTGTCTGTGCATTCATACGTCGATATAGTGTCGAATATATTAAAATTAATAGTCTAATCTCAGTAGTACTTTCAGTGGAGCAGTTACTCAGGTGACATATTCCAATTACAGAACTTATCGAAAATGATTTATTTTAAGGTAGAAGTTCACGAAAAGTCCTCTTTTGTTAGCGGAGGTTCTAGAACATGGCAAAGAAGGCCAATGCGCTAGAAACCATATGGATTTTTTAGCCAAGGTTTTCTGCTAGTTTCTCAGATTTGTTTCCTTGGCGATCTTCTTATTTAATTGAATATGATCTGTTTGTTCGATGTCTTTGGAAAGTTGAAAAATGATTCTGAGGGTAATAGTGAGAAGGTCGAGTTGGCTTCATCGACATCGTTCAAGAATGTATTTGTGAATATTTTTGCATTAGTATGGCTATTTTTAATATTTCATTTGCGTACAAGTGTGTAGGCATCGATGCGATTCTATGAATTAACGAGAGAAAGAATCACAAAAACATGCGTATCATCGTGCGCAAATATGCTGACGCAAATATGAACATTCACGCGCGCACCCAACCCTTTTTAAACATTGGATACTAGTTTTATTGACGGTTGTGAAGTAGTTTACTATGTCAGAAATTAGCTGAATATTCAATTGTTGGTCACACGAGTCATGCCGACGAGCGCTACTTCTTTAGTAAAGGTGGAGCATGGTGTCTAACGAAAGTAAAAGATTACTTTGCTCGTATTGAAATGCCATTACGAGGTTCATCACATTCACATATGTCAATTTCGGGAGAAGATATACTTATATACGATGGGTCTCAAATCGATGAAGAAACACATGAAGAGATTGTTAAGTTTTGTGACAAATGTATTATGACACAATTCCCTTTGTTAGATGAAGATACAGAATTACATAATATCGTCAAAGAAGCACAATCTCATTATCGTAATCATTCAAAGTCTTGTTTAAAATATCATGAAACATTGGACCGTTTTGAATTCCCTCGTTCTGTTGCTCGACGCACATTCATATGTGAACCAATTGAAGTTGATAACGATAATGATAAACAGTATACCAAAAAAGTAAATGAAATTTTTACAGAAATGAATGCAACAATGAATGCATTAGAAAAAGAGAAAATGTTGTCATGGTCCGATTTTGATACTCTTCCAACGAAGTATAATTGGAACTATGAGGACTACGAATGCGTACTTAGAGTAGTTCATACTAGAACTGTCATAATTCATAAAAGAGAACCCAACGGTCGATGGGTTAATCAGTATAATGAAGAAATGTTGAGAGTATGGAAGGCTAACATGGATATTCAATTCGTACTTGATACATATGCCAGTGAAAAATATTTAATGTCGTACACAACAAAACCAGAACGAGAAAAGAGTTTGCTATTTGAAGGAATTCATAAAGAATATCGTGAAGGAAATATGTCAGTACGTGAAGAAATGAAAAAATTAACAGATACATTTTTTAATCATCGACAAGTTAGTGTGCAAGAAGCTATTTACAGTATGACTAAAATGTCACCAACATATTCAAGTTGAGTTTTTATTTCTGTAGTAGCTGATAAATATTTTGACAG